TTCTGCGTGTGTGTGTGTGTGGGGAGGGGGAGTTTGTTTTCGTTGTTTCTCGACTTTTCGCTCAAGGGCGTGTGCCGCGCGCGGACGATGAATGAATGGATATAACTAACTGAGTATATATATATATATATATGTATGGGCGTGTGCGTGCGTGTGTGATTATGTTTGACCACTCTTTTCGTTGTTGGCCCGTTTTTTTTGTTCGCTGTGTGTTTTCCATTTTCTTCTTCTGCTGTTTTGCCTCCCGCCCGCCCGCCCGCTGCCGCACATCGGGCCCCGAAAGTCTCCGTGGTGCATGTCCCCGTGCCCGACAGCCTCTGCGCGTGTTTGCGTGTGTTTGTGTGTGAGTGGGGGGAAAAAAAAAAATAAATAAATCATTGGCCCGCGTAGCCGCCAGTGACGGCGTTTGCTCTCGCCTCGGTGTGCGGCGGAAGTGGCGCGCGTCGCCCGGCGGGTGCTGCCACACACACGCACACGTACGCGCACACGCGTGTGTGTGTTTTTGGGCTTTACACACGCGTGGCAACGAGGCGAGGAAGCGAAGCAACCATTCTTCTCTTTTTCTCTTTCCTAAAGGGCGGCGGGGCAGGGAGCAGCTATCAGCATCGGCAGTGAAGAGAACTGTGGCCGTTAAGAGCGCCGCCCCATTTCCTTCTTTCTTTCTTTTTTTTCTGTGGCGCCCCCCCCCCTTTTTTTTTTTTTGATTATTGTTTCGGCCAACCCGCTTCACCGCCCGCGGCCCCCTCGCTGCGCCGTGGCGTGCGTGCCGGCCTCTCCGGGGGTACGCGGCCCAAGGCACCGTGGCTTTCTTCCGAGGCGAGCGGTGCTGCTGCGCGTGCGGGATGCCCCTTCTTTTCCTGGCTGCTGTTTGCGTCCCCCCCCCCCCCCCCGTCTGTGTGCGTGCACGCAACCCGGCTACTAGCGGGACCGCGAGCGCTACAGCTTAGCACAGCATTGCACAAGTGCGCACAGGCACGGCGGGAGCGCGTGTGCGTGCACGAGGGAAGGAAAAGTGTAGCAGCGTGATAGGCGTCTCGGTAGTGGCCTACACATTCACACACACTCGCCCAGATACATACATACACATTGAGGGTGAAGCAACGCGAGAGGCAGTGAGGAAGGAGAGAAAATAAAAAGGCGAGGCGAGGCGAGGGGCGACTTTCATCTGCCTCCTCGTCGCACACGCAAATTACACAGCAACCAGAAGAAGAAGAAGGAGCAGCAGCAGCAGCAGCAGGCGCGGAGCGGCGAGGCGAAGAAAATGTCGAAGGCGTTGCCACCCATCAAACCGTCTCAGCCGCGGGGCCGTGACGCGTTCGGCGGCTCGGGGCGCCAGCAGTCGGCGACGTACGTCCCGCTCCCTTCGCAAGAGGCGAACAGTCAACTCACGCCGACACCGGCGGCGACGCTGCAGCAGTCTACGATTCGTGCCCCCCCGCGCACCGTGGAGTTCTCGCTGGGCCCCGTTCAGGAGCGGTACTTGCCCCCGTACAACGACCTTGACGACCCACACCTGGCGCCGTACTGGGCCCGCCGTGAGATGCTGATCCGCGAACTTGCCGAGCGGCGGAGCGAGATGCAGCGACAGCGGCGACTAGCGCGACAGCGCCGCGAGGTGGAACGTCGGCGCTTTGAGCGGCGCCGCCAGCGGGAGTTGGAGGAGCTCTCGGCCAAAAAGGGTTACGCGTCGCAGCGGCGCGCCGAAGAAGAGGATGAGGAGGAGCAGCAGCAGCAGCAGCAGCAGCAACGTTCGGCGAGCAAACGCGGGCCGCACCCGCCTCTGGAGAACAGCAGATCCACCAGCGGCGGCCGTCGGCAGTCGCGGCGGAGGCACGGTGGGTATGCACGCAGGCAGCAGCCCGCATCGGCCCCGGCCGGCGCGGCGGCTGAGCAGCACAGGCCGGCGTCAGTACCGAGGCGAGCGAACGCCAAGTCTGCCACCACGGCGCCGCGCCGCGATGTACCAAAGGCGAAACACGCCGAAACGGCGCCAACGAGAACAGCAAAGAAAGAAATGCCAGCAGCGGAGAAAGCCGAGGCCATCCCTGCCGCAGCCGTGACGCTAGCAGCTGTAGCGGCTGTAGAGGAGGAGAAGTATTCTGCCGGATACCATTCCTCCCCGCACACACCCATGCGGAGTGAGACCCCGCAGGAGGCCGATACAAAACTAGAGGCAGCGGTGGAACCCAAGCCTGCTGCAACGGCCAACCTAAAACGCCAGTCCTCCGCGTCCTATTCATCATCCTCGATGGACTCATCATCGTCGTCGTGCAGCTCCTATGACCACAGAAAGGAAGAACTAGGTAAGCACAGCGCCGAAAAACAATCAGTGTCACATTCAGAGCAAAAGAAGCAGGGAGTGGAGCCACTCTCTGTCGAGGCTCTCGTCGCTCTTGAGAAGGCCAAGGAGGAACCACAGCAAGAAATTGAAGCAAAACAGGACGAGTACGCTGAGGACGATGACTTTGAGTCCTCCACCTCTTCCCCCAAGGAAAAGCACCAGGTGGAACCGCTCTCCGCACTGAAAGTTGAGGCCCCAGAGGAGGTGCAGCATGAGTCCCCAAAGAAGGACGAGTACGCCGAGGACGATGACTTTGAGTCCTCCACCTCTTCCCCCAAGGAAAAGCACCAGGCGAAACCGCTCTCCGCGGCGGAAGTTGAGGCTCCGCATAAGCCTTCCTCACGTCCCTCGATGTCAAGTAGTAGCATGAGTTCAAGTTCTCGTGGTTCGAGTCTGGCTAAGAGTGACCGGGAGGATCCTTTCTACGAGTTGGGCGATGCTCCTGATGCAAGGAAGGGAACGCTGAACGCAAACGTGGCTGCCGGTGGTGACGAGTTGGGGCCAAAGAGCTCTCCAAAAAAATCCAACCCTCTGCCAGTTTCGGTGTCAAACGGCAAAGTCGAAGAGCCCAGCAATGATAAGGGGCAGAAGGTCTCAGACAATTTTGACGAACTGTAGTGACTGGCATGTCGTATTCACTAGCTAGGGGAAAGGATTTTATTTTTTGGAGAGGGGGAAGCAGGGGCGTAAAGGAAAGAGGGCCACCGAAACGATGCGAAGCACCGTCTAAGAGAGGTGGTGTGGCAGTGCTATTTTGCTGAGGGCCAGTAGAGGGCGCAATGCTATAGCTGAACACCGTGAACCGAACGAGGAGGAAAAAAGGACAGAAAAAAAAAAGCTCCGCCTGTGTACTCCTGTGTTGATGTATATGCGTAGACCTACACACACATCATCACAGTTCTCATCAAGACGTAAAGAAAAGAAGCGAGGGATGACGGCTTGCTGCTTGAGGACCCTATTCTGGAGACGCATGGTTTTTCTGGCTTCATTTCTCCCTCCCGTTCTCCTTGCATTCCTCCTCGTTCATTGTAGTTTTCCCTCTCGCTTTGAAAGCCATTATGTAAGCATCTTTTGTTTAGGTTGATATTTTTCTTTCTTTCTCTTTGTGTACGTGTGTGTTTGGTTTGTGTCTCACCTTGTTTCGTACGTCGGTCCCACGTGAGTTGCTCGCAAGGCCTTGACAGGTGGTGACGGGAGGAAGGGCGAGGGAAAAGTCCCATGATGAGGGGGCGAAAAGGGGGTTGGGTTTGACGTACGAGTCGGGGGAGGAAGAGTACAAGCCAAGCGGCGGCGCCGACAGGGAAAGGAGGCCCCGAGGCCTTGTATGTAAATCATGTAGGAAGGACGGAGGAGCAGGGCGAGAAGGAGAGAGGCAAGTGACACGACTACCCACGCATGCGGCAAACAATATTTATTTTTGAATGTCGCTGGTGGTGGGTTGGACGAGAGTGAAGGAGCGGGGCAGAGAGAGAGAGAGAGCGCGGAGGAGAGAGAGAGAGAGCGTGTGTGTGGGAGGCGGTGGTGGTTGCGGGGTGCCGTCGTGCAGCGGAATTGAGGTCGAGGAAGGAGTCAGGGGACACCGCCCGTAACAATGTGCCTGCCCGTATGTGTGTCACTCTCCCACCGTGGCGCTCTCTTTACCGAGAAAAGATCCATTGAGGGGAAGAAACGGAAGGGATACTGGAACGAACGCCGAGAACAGCAAACAGGAAAAACAAACCAACAAACAAACGCTCGCAGAATAGTTTACGGTTTTCCTCTTGTGTTTCTTGAATTAGATCTTTATTCCCCTTTTTTGCTTGCGCTCCGCGTTTTGTTGCCTTCATTTTCGTGTCTTCTTTTACTTGCTGTTGTTGATCTCTCCTTTGCTGTGTGGTGTGGGTGCCATCGTCGTCGTCAATGCCACCGTTGGGTGGCAGCCGGCTGGCTCCTCCCTAGTGGTGTGGCGCGGCGTGCGCAGCTCACACTTCGCTCCGCCGTGGCGCTCGCACCGCATATGTATGTCTCTGCACCAGCGTGTATAATGTGCAAATTATATATATATATATATGTTTGAAGGGGAGCGGAGGCAAGAGGAAAGAAAAAAAAACACACTGCAGAGAGGAAGAGGGCAGGTGGCGGCGGCGGTGACGGTGGTGGTGGTAAGCGAGTGCGCGGGGGCAGCGGGCTCTACACATCTTCTATAGTGCTTTTTATTCTGTTTTTTATTTTGTTTATCTATTCCTTTTGGAAAATAGAAGAGAAAAAAGAAAACGAAAACTAAGGGCGAGGAGATTGGGCTCTCGGTGGGAGTGGGTGGCGTCCGTAGACACCGGCGGGGGTGATATCTCGCTCTCACCGCTCACTTCCCGCGCCCCCGTTTTTTCGTTTTTTTTTTTTGCCGTTTTGTGTGCGTGTGTGTTTTGCAATGTCATACTTCGTGTGCTCAGCCGCAATTCTCCTGTTCGCCTTCAATTCCGTTTTCTTTCAATCTCCCTTTCCCCGCTGCCTGCCTGTCTGCCTGCCTGCCTGCCTGCCTGCCTGCCTCTGCTCCTCTCTGTTGGTCTGCCTCCTTCGGTCGGGGTGTTTGTCCGACCTCCGCCCCCGCCGCTGACGTTATTTTTTGTCCCTCCTCTCTCTCTCTTGTTTCCATTCGCTCCCGACACTCGATTTTTCTCTCCCTCGCGCGTGCGTCCTGCCAGGGCCGCAGCGTGGGAGGCAAGCAGCGTACCACGGGGAGGGGGAGGGGGCAGGAGCACCACTCCCGCAGAGTCAAGCAGAGGGGAGGCGACTGCAGCAACCGCCTGGCGAGGACGCGAGCGCGTGGGTCAGTCGTTGCTGGTGGGCTGCGTGGCGAGGCCGAGCCGTGATGAGCCAAGATCCCTTTCAGGATGCTCCCGCCGCGGGGGGCGGTGGTGCGAGGGTCATTGAGGGGATTCGGCAGCGTCGGGAGAAGCTCGAGCTCTACCAGTCCCAGTCGCACAAAATGAAATCGCTCATGATGAACAGCGCGGGGATTCGCAGCGGGTTGAGCACCAAAAACGAGCGTGCGTTGAACCCAATCTGGACAAACTTCCCCACAAAGTGCGTCAAACCCATCCGCTCCGTGGAGGAGATGCGGGAGAAGCTGCAGTACTTCGCGAAGAGCGATGATGTGATGGTGGTGCGCTACCACCAGAACCGCTGCACCGCCTGTAACGCCGTGGACAAGAGCTTTGAGTTTCTCTGCCACCAGAGCGCCGAGCGACTCCCGGGGCTTAAGTTTTACGAGGTCAACAAGGACGAGGTGCCGGAGCTTGCCAAAAACCTTGTGCGCTTTCCGCAGGTGAAGGGGTACAGCGGCGGGCACTGGACGGACCTGGAGTTTAAGCCTCCTGCCCAATTCCGCGAGGAGCTTTACCTGGCCGTGGAGCAGGAGGTGAGGCGCCGCAAGGATGGGGGCCGGCCCGTCACGGCGCTCGAGGCGGAGGAGATGTACTTCTCCGCTGCCGGCCCATCCATGTTGGAGGTGCTCCAGGAGTCCATCGTGAAGTTTTACTCCAAGTCGCAGGTGCGGCTGCACAACTATTGGAAGCAGGTCTCGGTGCGACGGTCGTGGTTTTTCAAGAAGTTCATTGAGCCTAGGGTGGAGGAGCGGCTGCGGGATGAGTGGCAGACGAAGTCGTTGTTTGGTGAAAAGATTATGTACGGCCCGGAGCCCAAATTAGAGGAGTTCTGAGTGAGGACGGCGTGTGACGCGGCGCGGCGGTTGAGTGAGGGAGTCGATGAAATGGGTGGCTCGGATACATTTCACTGGGGCGTGAGGGAGGAACCGTCTGCGTGCATGTAGCCCGTGTGAGCTCTCTGTTTGCTTACTTGTTCTTGTTGTTGTTTTCTTCCGGCGTGTCGCCCTTTCCCCTCATGTGTTTTTCCCTCCCTTACTCCACAAACGCACACACACACACACCCATACAAAACCAGCGTATTTATATACGTACTTACACGAGGAATAAAACGCCTCCAGCGAAGCATTGCCCAACGAGGCTGGATCAGCGGAACAGCATGTCGTGCGTGGATGCGGTCAGGCACGACGTGGACGTTGCCAAGCGCCTTGCCGCATCCTTCGACGGCCTTGCGCCTGCGGAGGCGCTGCGGCGCCACTCCCCTCGTAGTCGCCCCTTTGCTGTTGGTGACCTCGTGCAGCACCCCAGCGGGAAGATGACCGTCGCGGTTCGTCTCGAGCGTGTCGTTGCGGGCGGTGCGCAGCTGGACCCCGGCACCCCGCCCCTCGTCGTGTGCGTGGAGTGGGACGTCATCTTCAGCGTTGCGTACCCGAAGGAGCCGTGCCTGTGGCAGCTGAGCGACGGGCGCCAGACGAGCACCGGCCCCGACGCGGAGCGTTCGGTTGTCAGGCTCCGCTCGTTCCTCATGGAGGAGGTGCTAGCGCGCCTGCCGAAGCCCAAAAAAACGTACCTTGACGCGTGCTTGGGCGACGCGGGGGGCGGTCCCGCGTACCGCCGCGCCACGCAGGCCGCCGCTGCCGCTGCCGTCGCCTTGACGTCGCAGACCGAATTGGCGGCGGGCATCGCCCCGGTGGAGGTGCATCCAGCCCTGGGAGGCGGCGGCAGCAACGGCAATAAACACAGCGGCGGTGTCAGGCAAAAGCAGAAAAATGGTCGTGGGAGCGGCGCCGTCGGAGTTGCGGCATCGCCGTTTTTGTCCGATTTTGCGTTTCTCTCTAGTTGGTGGGCCGCACTGGAGCTGGACGTGGGCTGCGTCGTGCCCGCGCGCCAGCATTTTCTCATGGGTCACGTCTCCTCTGGAAACATGACCTCGCTGGAGGAGGAGCTCGGGGGCAGCAGCTACCCCCGACAAGGGCGTGGCATGCACTTTCTGGATGAGGTGGGGGGGAGCAGAGTGCAGCGTGCCGGGCGCGGCTTCGCTGCTGTGTTTATGCCCCGTGGCGACGTCATCGCATGGGGAATGCGCCGGCTTCCGCGCAGTACCATGAACAGCGAGGAAGAGGCGGACGGCGAAGCCGCGCCCGGCACGACACAGCCCCAAATACTGCAAGCCGAGTCGTCTGGGGTGGTGCCGCATAACTGTGGGGTGGGCTGGAGCGGGTATCGCACGGGCTACATGGAGGCCGCGGGGCAGCATGGGTATCATAGCCAACACCCCCCACATCATTGTGATCAGCACAGCCGACGCGCGCAGCAGGCGCTGCGCATGACGTCGGTCCGAAGTGACCTGTCTGGGGCGGTGCTGCCATCGCTGCTGGTTCCAAGCAACGTCTTGCGCACCGACGCCTACGAGCTAAACGACGTCTGCCTTTACGCCGAGAACCCAGCTGCGGCTCTGTGCCTGAATGCCCGCATTTCTCGCGACGGAAAGATGCTAAACAGCGTGTCAAACTTGTTTTTGATGTTGCGTCATTTGGTAAAGGGGGTGTCGCCGCATGCCTCGTTGCGCTACGCATTGCAGCTGCTGGTTCCCGCGCTACATGAGCTCGTCAAGGCCTTGCAGAAGCAGCGGAGGCCGTTTTGGGCGGGGGTGGCCATCTGCTGCCTGTTACTGCCAGCCGTGCTCAACGATCGGCCCACGCCGTTCGACCTCACCGCCCACCTCATTGACCCCGTCGAGAGTTATCGTTGCGTCTCGCTCGTGGCTATGATATTTGCCGCGGTGGGCTCCAACAACAAGTTCCGTGAGGCGGAGCTTGCGAGGGACGCCATCATGAGCGCGTACCGTGCCAAACAACTACCGCAGCCTCTCGCCAGCACGACCGGGGAACGGGCGGCGTGCGCTGGCGGCGGTGACGCTGTCGTCCATGCGTCCCACCTACCGATCACCGAATGTGCCGTCTGCGGGCTCCCTTTGCTGCGGGGCACAAGACGGGGGCCTGGTGGCGTCGCTGCCAGCGCTTCTACCAGTAACTCTGCAACTAGTGACGATGCTCTCTTACTCCCCGCTAAAAACGAGGGGTGTATCGTTGTGCAGTGTGCGTACTGTGGGCACGGCGGACACGTTGCCCACATCATTGCTTGGTGGGAAGATAAGAATGTAAGTTGCTGCCCAATGGGCTGTGACTGCCGATGTGTCTACTGAAGCAGAACGACAAGCATTCGTTATTTTTCTCCGTGGGGCCGTCTTGTGTGCGCCTGTGCGAAGAAGCGCGAAACAGTGTCTCCCGTGTGTGTGTGTGTGTGTGTGTGTGTGTGTGTGTGTGTGCGTTTGCACCGTGCAATTGTGAGGGTGCATGTGTTTTGCCTTTTGATGCCTTCTTTTTGAAGGGTTTTTTTTTGTGTGTGTTTGAAATACTATTCCCAGTGGAGGAAAAATAAAAGGAATAGGCATTGGCCTTCAGCAAAATGAAGAGCAAGTCGATTTGCAAGGTAGTCCCTCTGGTGTGTGCGTTGCTCTGCGGTGGATACCTGCTTTGGGGGTGGCGCGGCAGCACCGGGGGCGCCCCCTCGCGGGAGACGGACCCGCACTTTGACCCACTGGAGCACTGCAGCACGGACCTCGGCACGCTGCTGGGCTACGCGTTCAGTGTCCCGGCGTTCAGCAACTGCCACCGGAGCTACAAGGCCATGCGGCTCGTCGTCACACGCTTTGGGCGGCCAGACTTCGTTCTTGACTACAACGACGGGGCCGCAGGGAATTACTTCTCGGGGACGCCCTGGCTCTCCACGGAGTACGTGGCGCGCTTCCTCTTTCATCACAGGGGCGTCACGCACCTTCCGGCGGATACGCCACAGGACGTGTGGACGTCCAAATACTTCTACAACCCGCTAGAGGGGGAGGTCGGTGGGAAGAGACGACGGTATGAGCCCGTGCGGATCGCAAACTACGACGCGGCCACGACGGCGAAGCTGCGCAAGCGTCTCGCCCCAAGGTTTGCGGACATTGTCGTGTGGCCCGCGCAGAGCGAGGAGGGCCTTCCCGGGGGGCACGTTGCAGTCGTGGTGCAGGTGGAGGATGACGTGGCGGCCGCGGGCGGGGCGGACAGGCTCCGTGCGCTGCGAAGGGAGCGGCTGCAGCCCCAGTTGGTGTACATTGCGGAGCAGAACTTTGACAACGCGCCGTGGGCCGGCAGGAACTACTCGCGCGTGCTGCGCTTCTACTGGGAAAACGGCAAGGAGGCGGTGCTGCAGGACCCTTCAGGTGCTCGAGTGCTGGGGCTTGTTCGAAAGGGCAAGCTTGCCCTCAATCTTGAAGACGACGATGCGGGTGACCTCTGACGTTGCTGTTAGCGGAACTCCGCCGTGCCGCCTAAAGGGGGTGCTGCGGTGCGGGGCCTCTCGTGCAGCACGCGCCGTCTTGAGTGCGCCTGTGCGAAAAAGCGCGAATCAGTGCCTCCCGTGGCTGTGTGGGTGTGTTTGTGCCGTGCAAGTGTGAGGATGCATGTGTTTTGCCTAGATTTTTTCCCCCCGTAGATATGTCTAATTGTGGGCTTTTCTTTTGTTTTGTGGATGGTTTAACATCTCATAGTTTTTTTGTCGTCGTTGTTTATTTTTTTTCAATATTTTTTTCTGTTTTGCTTTTTCCCCCCTTTGAAATTGCCGCAACACGACGCGGACGAGGATGTGAGATATATGTGTGTATTATGTGACATGTTTATGTAGAGAGAGAGAGAGAGAGGGGGGAGAGGGAGAGGGAACGGTCTTTGCGTTGCTTCGCGCTCTGAGGTCTTTGACTCCTCTTTCAACGGCTGTGTGTTGTTGCTTATTTACGCTTATTTATTTATATTCTTCTCGCAGCTGTAGCAGCCGGGTTCGCAGTGATGCTCAGGTTGGCCCTGCGGTGCTCGGGCATCGTCGCCCCGGCCGCACTGTGCGACGCCGCGTGGTCGGCGGTGATGGCGACGGCGGCTTCGGCCGCGTGGGACGCGCGGCGGTGCCGGGCGACGAGCGCCTCCGCGGCGACGCCGCCGAAGGGCTTCGGCCCCGGCCGGGGTCACGGGACTGCGGCGCCGCACGCGGGCGTCCCATCGGCGGCGGGACACGCGCACAGTCACGGCGGCCACAACGCGGCGGCGCCCGCCGTCAGCGTGTCGCACCCGCCCGGCGGTAACACCGGCGGCGGCCACCGCAACGGCGGTCACATCAGCGGCAGCAGACGGCGGCGGCGGCGGCGGCGTGGGGAGCGGCAGTAACGGCAGCTGCGGTGCCGCCTCGCTGGGGCGGAAGAAGCCGGCAAGGAAAGCGCCGCAGCGGACGGCGGAGCTGAAGCGGAGGCGCGTAAAAGGGGCGACGACGACGACGACGACGACGACGACGTCGTCGTCCGCACACGTCGGCGGCGGAGCAAATGCGCGTCGCGCAAAACGCAAGCGTGACTCGAAGGGAGGCGCTGCCGCGCCCAAGCTGCGCGTGTGTGTGCTCAACAGCAGCTACGAGGGCAGCGACTCGGTGACGGCGGAGATTGACAACTTCCACTGCAGCCCCGCTCACTGGGTGAAGGACAAAAAGCGGTACGCCTTCACCGAGGTGGCCCTGCAGAAGAGCGACGCCTATCGCCATGTGCGGGAGTTGGTGACCTCCAACAAGTTCGACGTCTTCTTCAACCTCTGCGACGGCGGGAAGGACGAAAAGCGGGCAGGCATTGACGTGGTGGAGGCGCTGGAGGAGTACAACGCCGCCTTCACCGGCACCGACTCGCATAGCTTTGAGCCAAGTAAGATTGACATGAAGCTGCTCGTCGGCGCGGCGGGGGTGAATACGCCCAACTTTGTGCTGCTGGAAAACACGGAGGGGCTGGCGAAGAAGTGTCGCCACCTCCGCTTTCCTGTGATTGTGAAGCACCTTTCTGGCTACGCCTCGGTGGGAATACACAAGGACAACCGCTGTGACACCTTGGATGAGCTGAAGGTGAAGGTGCAGGCCTTTTTGGGGGAGTTTAACCACGCCCTCGTCGAGGAGTTTATTCGCGGCCGCGAGGGCACCGTCCTCGCCTGCGCGGACAGCGGCAGCCAGTTTGGGGTGAAGGTCTTTAAGCCGCTCATGTTTAAGTTCCTGGAGAACGACGACGACTTTGCCTACTTTGAGAAGAAGTGGACGATGGAGTGCGACGACAGCGCCTACGGCTTCCTGCCGCACAACGACCCTGCCTACCCCCTCATCATCGACACCGCCCGCAACGCGTTTCGGCACATCATGAACGGCGTCGGCTACGGCCGCGTGGACTTCCGCATCGACGCCAAGGGGGACGTGTACTTTCTGGAGATCAACCCCAACTGTGGGATGTGGTACGACGAGAAGGACGGCGGCGACTTTGCGGATGTGATGGTGCAGGGCGACAAGTCGTGGGACCACGACCGGTTCATTCGCAACGCCATACTCCGCGCGGTGCGGGAGCAGGCGGCGCGGCGCCCGTGGTACTTCATCAGCCACGACTCGAAGGGAAACTTCTCCACGCGCGCGCGCAAGACGGTGCGGGCCGGCAAAAGCCTCTTCTGCGACGCCGTCCACCCCGTCCCTGTCGTTGCCCAGGCGCTCTACAAACTGGGCGAGGAGGACCCCACCGTCGGCTGCGTTATTCTGCGTGGGGATCGGCTGCACCAGGCGGTGGCGATTCGGCACTCGTGTGAGCCAAACATGCAGTTCATGCAGGGCCGCACCCTCACGCTGGTGGCGAAGCGGACAATAAACGTGGGCGAGGAACTGACGCTTGACTACGCCACCCTGTGCGACGAACAAATGCCGCCCTTTGCGTGCAGCTGTGGGACAAGCAACTGTCGCAGTGTCATTTTCCCCTCTTCCCCCACGCCTCGCACGCTAGAGGGAAAGAACATACGGCAGATGTTGCGGGAAAAGAAGCGGGCGTGGTACAAGGAGAAAGAGGACCGTGAGGCGGAGCGTATGCTAAAGAAGCGGGCCGCAAGGGGCAAAGGCAGCGGTGCATCCGCCTCCGCATCCCTGTCCTCAGCGTTCCCTTCCGTGTCAAGCACGCCAACGGCAGGTGCACCGTCTACTTCCTCCGCTGGAATAAGTTCGTCTAGCAGCAGCAGCAGCAGCAGCCACAGCGGCAGCAGTGCGCTGCACGGCACAACTGCCAAGAGGTAGGAGCGTTAGGGAACGGCGCATGGATTACCATCCTCGTCATTATGGCCATCCTTGTCCGTGCTTGACGGCTGCTGCCCTTTCTTTCTTTCTTTCTTTTTTTCTTTTTTCCATTAGCTTCTGGCTTCCCAATCGTGTAGTTGGACCTGTTTGCATAGATGTGAAACTTTGCTGGGCGACGGCCCTGAAGCAATTACCCTATGAATTTCATGATTACATTACACACACACACCCACACGCACATACATGCCTGCATATATCAATTATTGTGCAGGTGCATATAAGGGACGAAGGAAGGCGCTGGGGAGCGTTTGGCGGACTTCTTTTTTTTTTGATTTATTTACGTGTGCCATTGCAACTAACCACGAGAGCTCATCGGAGAAGCGGTGGGGGAACGGCCGACGTGTATCTCTGTCTACAGTGTTTGCTCGTCCCTATTTCCCTCCTGCGGCTCTCGGTATTGCGATTGCGGTTTTGTTGTGGCGGCGGTTTTCTTTGCTTGTGGGGGAGAAAGTTCGTCTTGCGCAGTTGTCGGCCAACTCGCCGCCGGTCAGCGGTGTCCCCCGCCACACGCCCAGAGGAAGAAAGCGAAAAACAAAAAAGATAGGGGTCATCCTTGTTGTTGGGCGCCGATCCCCCTATTCGCTCTTCCCCGCTTTTTTCTCCCTCTGTGGGGTGCGCCTGTCGCGGCGCCGGCCCCATCAACAGGCCGCAACGCACTGCAACTATAAAGCCATAGATTTAGAGTGCCCACACGCGGTGGGTCGCTGAGACAGTAATGAGTGTGGAATAAAAAAGACGACGAGGGAACACAGATGCTTGCGAACAAGAGGAAGTGGGCTTTTTTTGTTTGTTTGTTAAGGCAATCTTGTTCTTCTTTTCTTCCTTTCCTAGCTATCAGTACATATACGTATATATATATAAGTATCTGTTTGGGTCTTTGTGTGGACTCTTCTGTTGTCGTCATCACTACTTCGCGTGCGTGCCCCGGAAGGCACGGTGGTGGGGGCTGCTGGTAGCGCGTCCACCATGCGCTGTGCGCGGGTTGCGCCCCCTCTCTTTTTTTGTACTGTGTGTACGTATGTTTATGTGTGTGTCCTGTTGGGCTGCACCTCCCCCCAGCAGGGGCACCACGTGGGGCCGAAATGGTTTTTTTCCTCCTCCTCCTCCTCCTCCATCTGCGGTGCAAGAGCGACGCCGCGGGGGGCGCGGCCGCGATGGAAGAACGGACCTACTCTGAAAAAGCCAACGCAAGAAGTAAGAATGGAAGCAGGGAGCAAATAGAGGATGCAACGCCGGGAGTCGCACGGTGTACGCTGCCGCCTCTCTTTATTGACCGCTGGGTGCGGCAGTGTGGGGTGCAGGAGATACTGAACCGCCTCATCATGGACCTTGTCGCCGCCCACCCGGCGGACGTTGTGGCGTTTATTCATGCGTGGAGTGCGCCAACGCGCGGGGAACGGGCCTGGGATGAGGAGGAGCGAAGTCAAGCCTCTGAGTGGACGTCCGGCTCGGACAAGGCCGGGGGTCGCGTCGGGAGGGGGGATAGCGGCACCGCCGTGCCGCCGGCCCGTGCGGAGGAGCCGACCGTGCAGGAGCTACGCTTGCGCTACCCGGAGGCCAAGTCGTCTCCCTTCACGCTCCTGGTGAGCGAGGAAAGCCTGGACGCCCAGTTTCGCCGCCGCTGCTCCGTCTCGTCGAGCAGCAACGGCGCAAATGGCTGCATCGGTCGTGGCAACTACGGTTTTGTGGTTCCCGCCGTGCTTCGGCAGGAGGCGGGGGCGGCACATTCAGGCGACCGAGACAATAGCGGCATTGGCCCGGCCAATGCGAGTGCCTCCGCCAGCGGCGAAGCAAGTCGCATGGTGGCCATAAAAATTAGTCGGGTGCAGGCGATGTGGTCATTGGATGAGGCCAATTTCCTCCGCCTTGTGACGGAGTGTCGTCATTGGCTGGAGCAGGAGGTGCAGAGGCTGCGGCAGGAGCTGGAGGCGCGGCGTGAGACGCACGCAGGTGATGCGCAGCAGCCACAAGAACCACAACGAGAAGAAGATGCGCAGGCGGCGCACCCGACATGTATTGGCGCCATGAACACTCTTGAGTCTCGCCTGCAGCTTCAGACTTTACTGTTGCAAGGGGCTCGACGCGTGACCAGTCTGGCCGGCGATGCCATGTACGACGTGGAGAGGGATGCCATGTGGTTTCCACTTGACTTCTACCCATCCTCGCTGCGAAAATGCATTCGAGCCCGTTGCAAGCTTTGTACGGGTTCCTTTTCCTCCACGGGCTCGTTTCCCGACATTTTGGTCAACAACGCAGGGGACACGGTCATGGTGTTGCTCTTTTCCGTGCGGGAAATTCAACACGTGGCGTGGAGCCTTTGCTGTGCGCTGCACTTCCTCAACGCCAGCTGCGGCCTCTGCCACCTGGACGTGAAGGTGGACAACATCCTCCTCTCCTCCCCGTGGGTCTCGAGCGGGCCCGAGCCAAACGCGGCGCTGCCGCTGCCCATGGAAGAGGCATCTGGCGCCCCGGGCGATGCCGCCGCGCCGCCGCTGCCCCAAGTTGTCCTGGGCGACCTCGGGCTCGCCCAGCCCCTCGGCACCCCCATCATGCAGCTCGGGGACTTTAGCACGATGGCGCCGGAGGTGTACTGGGCCCCTGAGAGCCGCGCGAACTGCCCGGCGTGCCGCACACCGGTCTTTTGCGCCTCAAGCGACACGTGGAGCGTTGGGTGTGTTCTGCTGCAGATGATCAATGGACTCGAGTACAGCGCGTGGGGGGCGTCGGACATGTTTGCCGCGCTCGAGGAGAATTACGTGTCGCCCGCGCTGCGGCACCCCGAAGTGTGGCCGATGCAACTGAATGACTTCATCGCACGCTGCTTTGAGCGGGACCCACGCCGCCGCATGCAGGCTGCTGACGCACTCCGTCACCCGTTTTTGGCATGCCTCTAGCCATTCTTGTCTCTCCCTCTCTTCTTTCTTCCTATGTGCACACTCCCACTATGTTTTCTTTTTCTGTTTTTTCTTGTGTCGTCGTGTTGTTTTGTTTTTGTTTTGTGCTTTCTGCTTCCATTCATCTCAGTGCGTTGCCGCCTGCCTGCGTTGTGGCGCCTCACCCGTGCTCCGTTTGACTTTGTCTTCTCGTTAGTTGCCTCCCACTGTGCCAAGGGAAATTCATTACTCCGCGCGGCCGCAGACGCAGACGCACACTACGCTGTGCTGCACGAAAACGGGCGGAAGCAAATGAGAGGCGGAGGAGGCGGAGGCGAGTGTTGAGTCGCAAAGAAAACCGGCGACGCCTATCGAATGCGTGAGAAAAGGCAGTGTGGTTCGCGGGAGGTGCGTCTGCGTGCGTGTATATACATAAAAATATACGGGGGCGGGCTTGGGGTAACTCGAATTGTCCCTATGCGATATCCAACCTTCGGCGCGGCACCGAGCCCCCTTGTGGATTGCAATGTAAACTGAGGCGAAGGTGGGAATATACACCCACGCATTCTTCGCGGCTTCTCGTGCCACTTTTTTACCTCTCCCTCATTCTTCCTATGTGTGGATGCCTGTCCGACGGCGGCACCCCAGTGCGTGGCTTCCCCTCTCACGTGTGTTGGGCGTCGGGGGGGGGGGGGCACGACCCCACGCATCGCTTTCTTTACCTCTCTATGTATCTAACTCTGTGGGGGGAGCGAAGAGGCAAATTCAACATATATATACATATATATATGCATACAAACCCTCACACACACACACACGCACACAAGCAAGCAATCGGAATGAAGGTGACGGTGGTGGTCGGGAAGCAGTCGGAGGTGGTGCAGCTCCCCCCCAACCCGACACTGGCGGACCTCAAGAAGGCCTACAAGCCAACGGTGGATGTGAACCGCAAGTCCTTCAAGGTGGCGGGCGGCGGCGCGGAGAGCGGGAAGCCGCAACTCGTCGCGCTGGTGGATAAGCGGCCGCTGAAGGAGCAGGGCGTGACTGAGGGGTGCGAGGTTGTCTACAAGGACTTGGGGCCACAGGTGGGCTACCGCACGGTGTTCATCGTGGAGTACGCGGGGCCGCTCGCCATTATGCTCGGCTACGCCCTGCGCCCCTCCTTCATCTACGGCACCAACATCGCGAAGGGGTTTGGCTACACACAAAAGCTCTTCATCAGCCTCTTTACTGCCCACTTTGTCAAGCGTGAGCTGGAGAGCCTCTTTGTGCACAAGTTCTCACACGCGACGATGCCGCGCCGCAACATTGTCCGGAACTGCGCGTACTACTGGGCCTTCGCCCTGTTCATCGGCTACGTGCTGTGCCACCCGCAGTACACGGAGCCGTCGAATCGCTGCCTGGTGAACGCCTCGGCGGCTGCCATGGTGGTCTTTGAGCTGCTGAACTTTGCCGTGCACAAGCAGCTGAGCGGCATGCGACGGAGCGACGGCGACACGACCCGCACCGTGCCCAAAGGTGTTCTCTTCTCCCTGGTCTCCTGCCCGAACTACACGTTTGAGGTGCTCTCGTGGGTGTCGTTCTCCCTCGGCACGAGCCTGGTGTCCTCGTGGCTCTTCACCCTCGCCGGCTTCGTGCAGATGGCGGAGTGGGCGGTGAAGAAGCACAAGGGCTACGTCAAGTCCGACCCGGAGGCGGCGAAGCGGAAGTGCATGTTGCCATTCCTCTTCTAAAAGTGGCCGCTGCGGCCCTCAAGCGGGGTGTGCGGGGGACAGCGAGAGGCACCCGCCCCGGACCCGCCGCACCCATCGAAGCAAACAAGCAAAACAAAACAAAAAAAATGTGGGGGAAGAGAAGAAAATAATTAAAAAACACACACACACACACAGAGAGAGGCGGGAGAGGGAGAAGCGAAACAGCTGGCAAGGAGGAAGTGTTGCTTGCCGTTGTTGCTGTTTTCACCTTCGTTCACTCCGAGGGGAGCCCGGTGCGTGGGGAAAAACACTGAGGGCCCTGGGGCTGTGCGCGTCCACGCCCGGGCGCCGCGCCGCCTCCCACGGTGGGAGTGTCCTCCAGGCGCAACGAAAGAAGCGGGGGGGTGGGGGGGGTGACAAGGAAGAAAAAGAAAAATGAAAAAAAAGAGAGAGAGAGAGAGAAGAGAGAGAGAGAGAG